GCTGCCCGAGAGGTCAGTTCCCTTGGGGATCCCTCAACAGCTAAAAGGGGGAAGACAGCTACCCTGTCTTGAACCTAATGGGAAAGTTAGAAATCCTGGGGAGGGGATTTGAGAAAGGCATTGGGGTGAGCATTGAGGGCTGCAGAAGGTGAGTTTGAATACGCTGGGTGAGAACTGAGAGGAGGTGCTTTTGACTGAAGGCTCAGATGATCTGATTTCTCATCTCCCAAGAGCACTGGGTGCAGCACAGCGCTCGTGGGGCTGTATTGCAGCAGGATGCCTGCTGTTTCTTGCGCTCCCGCAAAGGAGCGTTGCTTGTGAAGGTCCCTTAGCATCTGTCCCTCTCCTGCATCCTTGAAGGCAGCAAGCTGCAATCCTGGAGGACTTGGTGAGAAATGTGCCCCTGGAGTTCGACTTCCTTTTCTCCAAATCACATGCAGAAGTGATCTCAGGGAAACAGGAAGGTAGGAGCTGCCACAAAGCACTAGTCGGTTCCCTTTAGTGTACTGCTGTAATGACCCTTTCTGTCTCATGCAGGTGTCTATGCTTGGATTGGCATCAACTTTGTCCTAGGCCGGTTTGATCACGAGGACGGTGAGTCTAGCTGCTTGTAGAGCAGCTGGGAGGGTCTGAGCAGAGCCCTGCTGGAGGTCCTCCTGGCACTGGAGATAAGAGCAAGCTCTGGAGCAGGCAGTGTCTGCTTCTGGCCAAGCAATGCCTGACCTGAGCCATGTGTGTGAAACTCTCCTGAACCTGGAACCTGAAGGGGCTCCTGTCCTGGTCACAGCAACAAGTCTCTGTGAGGGGAGTATGTGCAGCATTTTGGGAGAGAGAGTTTGTGGTCTTATTCCTGTAGTGGCTTCCAGGAAGCGATGCTCTGGGAGAACCTACAAAGCTGAGGGGTAGCCAGCCCTGAGTGTCAGGACCTACTGCCTTGCAAGTGATTCTTGGGTGCTGCTTGCAGAGGTGGAGGAGCCCAATGAGGCTGTTGTGGGGTGTAACAGTGGAA